AATTGAAAAACATCACGTGCAATAGAGTATTTAGTGCAATTAACTCCGGTCTCGAGATGCTCAAGAAAAACAAAAGTGTTGCGTAACAACTATTTAGTAGGAAGGCCACTGTTTGCACTTCATTGAGACAAGTGTGATGTATACATAAGCGGAATCAATGAAATGCTTCCAAAGTAGTCATACGTAAATTCACATGTATCCCTAGTGACATATGTCATGGGGTTCGAACCATCTGAATTGAATCAGGCTGGAAATTCACTATTGACGACTGATTTGGTTGTATATTGAACGAAAATCATAAATTATTTAGCCTTTCACATTTAGACTTTTGATAGTAACATAGAGGTTTACAGACGCTTTAGCCGTTGCCGGGTGCGTTGGCCGTACGACCGGGCCACAGTCGTATCTCGTTCATAAAGGTTTTACCATGTACCTTTTAGGGGTCCTTAAAATTGCAATATTTCTGTGCCTGACGTCTGTCACCAAGTTGCATTGATGTTGTCATGACGATGCTATGGGGCGACGCCCTCAGTGGTGGAGTTCACATGTCGTCATGACAACGCATGCAAAGTTTAAGACTATTGGTTGAACGATTAACACTGTCGGTTATAAAAATGGGGGTTCTAGCGTGATAAGGGAGAAGAGGACCGGGGCATATGGTGACGATTGTAGTTGTAAAGAATATCTGGCTGTACTATACTACTGATGTCCTTATGACTGAATGGTGCGTTTAAGTGTCGAGCGATCCTAGTGTACCACTCACTGTCTTGCGAGTTACCCATTCCTCGTTACAACCACTTCCTGTTCATTCAACCTGACGAGCCACCCGCCTATAATAACCCTGATAGACAAAACCCGCATTGTTTACACGTCACACCGTCGACAAGCCGCGCTAGCGTTTTAGCATTCGGACGCGCTCACAACTTATTGGAACTGGGACCCAAAACGCGTAATTTATTGAATGTGGTTAGATTACAGCTCAAATGTCTTTCCATGTTTGAGAGCTAGTGATTGGTGTGATTGGTGTTTAGCCAAGCCTAAAACATAATGGGGAAATTGTTTACTGTCAAACGCAATACAAACTATCTACTGAACTAGACCGGAGTGTGCGTCTCTCTCAGTCTATAAAAGGGATATATGTGTCAAAATATGGTCAAACAGGGACAGGCATGTTATGCACAATGATTACACAACTCGTTCATCGAGTTACGAAGCCGGGCAATAATCAGATATCAAAAGATATCAGACACTATGTGTTATATCTGAGGTCATGGTTATACACAAATTAATGATTTTGGTCAAAGTATAAATATAATTGACATTCTACTGTTAACTAAGTAACTCAATTTTCGTTTCATTCAAAATGGCATTTACAGTGATAAATTTTGCTAAAGTGAACAAATAATGTCAAGGTCTACTATATATGCTAATGCTGCGTTGATTTACTATCATCAATAACTGTCATTACTATCATGAATATATTTATATCAGTCTAGATATCGGTCACCGATACGACTTGATAACTGGTTTCCAGTGAAGGGCTGGGTGATATCATTCAACGGTCGCTCATACGCTGTTATCATTAGGCGTATACAAAGTACTGGACTGAGATCTAATCAGTGACTGAAATTAATTGCAGATATAAACTTTGCCAAAGGACGGTTGTTTTTTCAATGCATGATAAACTTTGGCGTTTTACGAGTGCATCTAACGATATTGATATGAGAAGTCTCCAAATATAGTGAACAATTAATCACGTACATAATGGCGTGCTAAATACTTCATGTGTGATTTGTTACATTAGTGGAATGTGTGGAGGCCACGCCTCAAGATCTTAAACTTCCATGTATTAGATAAAGGTTTTGGAAAGTGAATAAAGTCAGTCTTGAGGAGTTCTCCACGAGGCGACTGAGCTAGAGGTTGACACGAATTTAATCTTTGTGTGTTTCGGCTTGGCTGAAAGTGTTGTGAACGAGACGATCCAGGCACCTGACTTAACGTTTAAGAACACGAGAATTAAACCGTTATATTACTATGATTAAATGGGAATAAGAGTTCAATCAATATATTGGGTATGATAATGATTTAAATTATTCATATTGGTCATATTTCGTCATTGATTGAATTTCATTGCTCTGAAAATGAGACGTTGCATCTTTGTTGACTCCATCTTATACACGAGAACTGTGTTTGTCCCTGCGACTGACAGGTGCCACCAGCTGATTTGATTGATCTTAAAAAAAAACATTTTTTTAGTGAGTCTGACATTGACAAGACAACTTTAACAATAATCGCTATAAAGTCATATTATATACACTTCGCAGCAGGCACACTGACGTCATATGGTCGTTGATATTAGGTTGCAACGTCGAACAATGCATGTCTATTATTGATACAACTATCACGGGGTATTTTTTTGGGCTCGGGGTTCTCCACACGTGTCAGGGGGGAATCTCGTCTTGTCTCTATATCGCGTCCCCTTGAGGTATGGGATCGGGAAAGTCACTTATACTTTACAGTCAAATAGGACACACACAGCGAAATACGTTTCAACTCTCGTCTTAGTCGGTCTGTCGAACACTCTATAAGACACAGCGCCCTGGGGAAAAATCCCCAAGACTATCGCAAGGCTGACCCAAGACTAGCCCAAGACTGGACTGCCTCAAGGCTCGCCCCACGACTCTCCAGGACTGGACTGCGTCTGTCGTGCTGTACTCGCCAAGACCAACTCAAAACAACTTTATTCATTTTCAAAACCTTAACCAATTACAATGCAGTAAAAAGACTCTAGGGCGTAACCTTCAATCATAAAGCCAATCAAACTAAGTACTGAATACGTCATATCTTTTGATTAATCGTTCACTACATTAATAACTACGAATACTAACTGTCAGAAATAGTAGTCCGAATAGCGACGGTTATCTCGTAATTAGTTCCAAATTACTGAGCCAAGTTCCGTCCAGGACCTCGCCTGCCTAAACGATGACAGACATAACACAGCCATTAGCTAATAATCAGCTAATTAAGTCGATTAACAGATACGCGAAAACAATTTCATCATACAACATTGATTTTCACACGGATCAATTACATTGACAAAACGTCCTCATTTTGAAAACAAGTTAAAAGTTGATTGTATTTGAGACTGTGTAAAATGTTGATGTTGGAAAACTTCTGTATTCAGAGTTGAAAAGGCATGTATGTGATTGTATTTATTTGATAAACATCTTTAGTATACCAACCTAACTAATTATCCTAAAAAATGACAGTTGCAGCACAGACAACGATGTACATCAACACTATATCAACATTACCTCCCAGAAAATGATTTACGTGGCAATAATGCTTGTATAATTTACTATTTAATCCCTAAACAGAATACAGTTTAATAAGATTGTAAAATATTACAAAAGAAAAATATTACAAAGGGATGCGTATATCACAATTGTTATGTGTCATGGGTGGCAGTCTAACCCAGATGTAATCTCTTCGAATTCAGTTCAGTTTCAATGTCTAGATGCAAAAATCCCAAAGCATACAATTACACAATAGATCACCTGCCAAGAATATCAATTAGCATGTTGGTGAAATTGACTATTTAATTTTATAGATGAAATCACTACATGACAGGTCACTCTGTGGGTGGCAATGCGCTGTATCGTTTCGAAGAGATCGTCAGCTAAGTTCGAATCTCGTTGTTGTGTGTTTTTAATTTGCCTGTAATTGATATCACATACACACAACTTAACAGGCATAAGTGTGTTAGCCGAGACTGAGCTGTTATATTCAATGTACTAACGTTTGTTCACATTTTTGTGAGAATGAATGTGACAAAAACATTTACTGCATGGCACCCCGAGAATTTTGTCAATAATGGATCTAACTGGACAAATGATGAACGTGACAAATACAGCACCTTGGACTGTGATAGTTTGATGACGTTATTCTACACGGAGCTTGGGGTGTTGGCATTTCTAGGTATTCCCGTCGTGATTGGAAACACTTTAGTGATACTTGCAGTTTACCAGAATCACAACTTACGGACACCTCCAAACTACTTTATCGTCAGTTTGGCATTTGCTGATTTGATGATTGGAGTAACAATGGCTGCCCAGAATGTACTATTGCATGGCCAGGGTGTTATAACTCACAAATGGGCATGTGTAGTTATAAGTGTAATTGCATATAATCCTATAGGGGCATCACTTTCACATTTACTAGCAATCGGAATTGACAGATACATTGCAATTCTTCACCCTCTTCGTTATCACCAATTGATCACCGTGTCAAGAGTCAAGGTAGTCATCGTCATAATATGGGTCTATTGTTTTGTTACCATAGCTCCAATCTGGTTCATGACTGACAGTAAAGCTAATAGTTGTTATGAACTAATGATACCAATTATTCGTGGACCGGGAATTTTTATTACTATAGTAGCATTTGTCGTTCCATTGATCATCATGGTTGCTATCTATGCCAGAATATTTGTAATTGCAAGACATCATCTGCGGAGAATAAATCCGCAGTCAGAGGACACTCAGCAACAACACTATATGAAACGTGAGGTTAAAGCAGCTATAACGCCATGTGTCGTAATTGGAGTCATGCTTTTCTGTTGGGTTCCACAGTTCATTGTTGTAGTCATGGATCGTTATGAAGTTTGTGCGAACCCACAACGTTTTGTTTCAAATCTGTTTATGCTAATTAACTCTGGAGCTAATCCTCTTATTTATGCACGACATAACACCGAGTTTCGTCAGGCATTCAGAAAAAGCATTCAGAAAATTAAAGCATCATTATGTTAATGAGCAAATCATAGCAATATATCAAATATATTACTGATACAATCTTACTTTGTTAATTTTAATTATTTCAGACCTTTTTTCAGAAACCTTGGTAACAATACTTTGCAATATTGGATATATGTTTGTTTTCTTATGACTGAAATATAAATACTGGTTTGCAATGTTTCTTGGATACTTTTATTCTATTAAGATGTACAAATATTTATAAAAGCATATATTTGAAAACAATATAAAATATGTGGAGCACTACTAAGAGATCATTTTATTGAAATATAAGAGTATCACGTAAATGAGGCGTTAAAGGTAATTAAACAAATAATATATTAAATTGAAAGAAACTTCGTTTAAATTGTCTTTTCCAAAACTTTCATTCTTACTTTTTATATACACTACAACTACAAAGATTATACTGTTATACATTATACGTTCGATTCGTATCTGTAATTTATATTATAATATAATATAAACACTTTACGTATATTTGACGTTTTTAATGGTTTTCAATGTTGTTGTACCATTATCCGCCATATTCAAGGAAAGGTTTAGTTTTAATTGAAAATTTGTAGGGTTTAGGTAAAGAGTATTCAATGGGTCGTTGAAATAACAATTATATATTATTACTGTGTTCACTTTTGTATCTGTTGACGTTACTATTCATAAATATTCTTTAAATCGATCGTACATGATTGTAAAACGTCTTTTAAATATATAATCATCCTTGTTGATCATTCTATTCACGTTTATATTATGAGTTGAGTGTTTGTTGTAACAAATGGTAATAAAACCTTGCAATTTCTTAGAGATGCTTTGAGTAACCGCATTCAACTTAACACACAGATCATTACTATTTGATCAAATATAGATGACTGGCATCCGGAATGTCTTCTCGGTAATGTTGCTTTTATTAATGTTCATGTAGATTTCTGACTAATATCGCCTGATTCAATTACAAGTCTACACACAAATTATACTATCATCATCATCATCAGCATCATCATCGTCATCTCAGCCTTTCACGCCACTGCTGGCGGGTGGCCTCCAGTTGCCTATTGCCCAATCGCTTGGACAACAGGGCTATGAGGCAGGCAGTACGAGGTTACATTTTACCCGTAGTAAGCCAGTTCAACCTAACCTTACTAACTATACTATAATCCTAGATAATACCGTACTAGGTGGTGGAATTGTGTGATTTGATTTGTGATTTACATGATAGGCATTCACAATCACATGAAAGGGATTCACATTACATGGCAGGTAATCATCACTACACAATGGGCATTAATCAATACAGGACAGGTATTCACCATTGCATGATAGGAATTCATCATTACATGATAAGCTTCTTGATCACATGTCAGGAATTCATCATAATGACAGGAATTTACTATTACATGATAGACATTCATCATTACCTGACAGGTCATACATCATTACATTATAAACATTCACCATTACATGATAAGCATTCGCCATTACATGATAAGCATTCACCATCACATTGATAGGCATTCGCCATTACATGATAAGCATTTATTACACGACAAGAATTCATCATTACTGATAAGCATTCACCATTACATACTAGGTATTCACCATCACCTGATAGGCATCCTCATATTACATGATAGGCATTCACCATTGCATGACATGCATTCATCATTACATGACAGGCATTCATCATTACATGATAAGCATTTATTACACGACAAGAATTCATCATTACATGATAAGCATTCACCATTACATACTAGGTATTCACCATCACCTGATAGGCATCCTCATACTACATGATAGGCATTCACTATTACATGGCAGGCATTAACTATTACATGATAGGCATTCAACATGACATGGCAGGCATTAATCAGTACATGATAGGCGTTCACTCGTACATGATAAGCATTCACCACTACATGGCTTGCATTAACTATTGCAAGATAGGCATTCACATTACATGGCAGGCAATCACCATTACATGATAGGAATTCATCAGTACATGATAGGCATTCACTATTACATAAAAGGCAATCACCATTACATGATAGGCATTCATCAATACATGACAGGTATTCACCATTGCATGATAAAATATCATCATTACATGATAAGCACTCACCTTTACATGATAAGCATTCATCATTACATGATACGCATTCACCATCACATGATAGGCATTCACTATTACATGATAAGCATTCACCATTACATGGCAGGCATTCATTATTATACATGATAAGCCTACACTCTTACATAATAAGCATTCACCACTACATGGCTTGCACTTACTATTACATGAAAGTAGCTTATCATTACATGGTCTACATTACAATCTACATTACATGATGGGCATTCATCAATACATGATAA